GGTGCAGGGAGTTCAGACCCTGGCATGTGGCCTCAGACTGAGCCATCTCACTTTTGATGTCTGAATGATCTGGTCCCTCTGCCAAGTTCTGAGCTGTCCAGAGTAAGCCTGTTTTAAATCACATTCAATGCTTCCTAAAAGGAAGCTCCTTCCAGCTGCAAATGACACAGCCCCCTTCAGCTACCCGCTTTGCAGTTGGCTGCAAGACCCTGGCCTGGTATTTAATAACCCTCTCCTTCTTCTGTGCCCAGGATGGTGCTGGGGTAGCAGTGAGCCTCTTCAAGGGGATGGCTCTTATTATTATTAACTTTTTTTAACCTAAAGCTTCCAGCTTCATATAAAATTATTCAGACAGAATGAATACTGCTAGTTCCAACTGAACTTAATTATGAGTCCCTAACTGGACTTATTTGGCTGATCCTTGTTTGACTTAGTAAAAAAACAAACCAACAAACAAACAAAAACCTGTATCTGTGTTGTGGTGAATTTCTATGGAAAATTGACAACTCAGAAAACATTCTTTATAATTAAGAGTGTTTGCTCATTAAAATCCAAGAACATTGTGTGTCACGGAATGGTTTAAGAGCTGTCTATTAAGTGAGGGACTTTTTAGTGTCACTCTTTTAAAATACCGGAGGAGTATATATTTTAGGTAGTGATGCTCATTAACTTAAAATGTTCATTCTCTTCAAAAAGTCTCATACTCTCAAGGGAAGGGTGCACAACATCTAACCCTTTCTGTCTCCCCTGAATCCACAGTGCCTTGAACACAAGAAGGGGCTCCATAAATGTTTGCTGGTAATTAGAATGACGTTGGGTTTACAACTTCCTGGGCCATGACCTATTCAGCATGCAGTATTGGATTTTGTACGCATAAAATTCTGAACATTTGGGAAAATGAATTATCCTTGTCTGAAGATGCTTCTTAACACTTGCCATTTAAGTTCAATCAGAGCAAATGTTTTCAGGGTTACCATCTTCCTAAATAACTTATGAGACAAAGGCATCAAAAACTTAAAGACCAGAAGACCGGGGAATATGCAATTGAAGTCAATAAACATTTATTGAGCACTTACTTGGGGAAAGGCCCAAGGCCAGGTGCTGGAGGACAACTGCGTCAGTCAGCAGAGTTAATATTTACTGAGTATTTATTATGTGCTTAACACTGTGAGTGAAGTTAGAAGCACCTTATGTGTATTGACTCATTTTACTCCCTCAGCACTAAAACTAATCAGGTTCTGCCATATCAGGCCTTACAATCTAGGACAGACTTCCTCTTCTTTTTCTTCCTTGTGAACACCTGCCCCACCCCCACTGTCAATCTGGAGGGAGAGAAAAAGGGGAAGGGGGTGAGACTGAAGGAGAGAGGAAGAGGTGAGGAGGGAGAGGAGAGAAAGACAGAGCAAGAGAGAATAGATCTGGATTTAAAAGTGTGGCTTGATTCCAGTAGGAGGCAGACTAAACAACAGGAAACTTGAATTTTTATCAAAAATTGTCTTCACAGGCTTCAGAGCAAGATGCCAATCTTCTTGAATAAATGCTTCAATAAATCTGTCATGATTTTCAAATTTATTAATAAAATTCATTTCCATTTTTAGAAGCATCTCAGTTTTGCTCCAGCAAACTCCTTTTCTCCTTTAAGATTCAACTGATGAGGAACAGTGAGCTGCCTGCCCAGAACTACATTATAGATATAGTTACAGAGCATATAGTTATAGAGTTCTGGGGAACTCTAGCCAAAGACATATCATAAATTACTATATGTGGTAAAAAGCAAAAATACAATGAAACATTCTTCATAAATAGAAAATCAGAGATATATTGAAATATTCTGATTATTTAAGAAAAAATTAAACCCTAGGTATCATGCAAGTTCTTACATAACAAATTATGCCTTTTCTAGAAACCAAAGTCAATCCTCTCCCTATCCCCGCAGAAATAACATGCAGGCTCATTTTTGTCTTAGGGAGATGACCAGCAAAGCCGGCACTGGGGAACAAAGCCCAAGCACCCTGCAGGCAGCCTCACCACATCCTCCTGGCATTGGCAGGTGGCAGCCCAAAGACAGTCTCCCTGGAATCTCCAAGAATTCTTGTGTCAGCTACTACCTGGGAAATCTGAGCCAAAATCCCACTGTTTTAGCAGAGAGGAAATAGGCAAGGAATTCCTAAAAGGATGGAGAATTTCACTCCTATTTTGGCATTTGGCAACTCCCCTGTCAGTGAATTATAGTGCTACATTTCGAGAGACCTCCTCCTATGCAGGTGACTGGCAGATGCAAATTCGCACTGAAAAATGAGCACTGTGTCACCTAAGGAGATAACGTTGAAAGTTTTTCCCCCTCAGGAGATGGGCCTCCATTCCTTGCTGGGATTATTCTGGTTTGGTCAAAAGACCTGATGGGAATTCCTGCTGTCAGGCCATGCCTTTTGGCAGAATCTTCAGGGCCCAATGGAATAAAAGAGGTTAGTTGCTTTCCCTTCCCTTTAATCGGTCCTGCGCTTTCTTCAGAAACCACGTGCCACGTTCTCTGGTCCATCTCACTTTGAAAAGCAAGAAAATGACTTTGAACTCCTCTGGGCCTGGCATTTGAATTCTAGTTCTTTCATCTCCCCTTCAGCACTTGAAATACAACTTGCACCGTGTTTTGTTCATTAATTCTGCTGGCCAAGTAACAAGCCAGGTAGAAGTTCTCTAAAGTTCAGATTCTACTTCATGCTCTCATCAGATACCTGGAGAATAAACCCAGAGAGTTCTGGGAAAAGGGCTCTTCAGTAAAACCTCCAGAGAGGACCTCTGCTCCCTGCTGAGGGGGAGGTCCTTGCCATCTCTGTGGTGACGTCTGCAGCAGAGGTCAGGCGCCACTCCAGCAGGTGTGCACTTGTAGCCATGGTTTGCAAGACATCCCCAGTGGGCCTACTGTTCAGAGTCATTACTATTCTGGTCCTATCCCAAGCAGACTATAAAATTATACACATTTCTTACTTGGGAAATTGACAGGTTGTTTAAAAAGAAATGTCACTCATACATACAGAAAAAGCCACAAGTTCTAATCAGAATTTCTGATTAACTCAATTCTTTTCTTTTACACCTATCTTGTAAGGGTGTTAAGAATGCAAGTTTCATGTAAACTTGTCCCTCATCTAGAAACTTTAAAACTGATGGAAGCTTTTTTGAGAAAAAATTTTATTTATTTATCTAAAGATCTCATTGGATTTAAGAAAATCACATTCCTTTCTTTTGATATATGAAGGTTTGTAGAATACAAATTCTATGCTATCAGGAATGTGGTCTCCTCAAATAAAGAAATCCAAACCCAGTAAGAAAGCAGTCCTGAGAAATGAGATATCAGCTTAGTGAGAGACATACACTGACACAGAAATGCCAGGTTTATTTTTCAGACAAAGGATATATGGCTTTAGAAAACAGTGACATGGTGCCTCCCTGTATGCTAAGCTGCTAAAAGATTAAAGTGAATAGAATTTGAGGATGAAAGAAAATTTCCTAAGGCAATGGTTCTCAAACTTTAGCCTGCATCAGAATTTCCTGGAGGGCGTAAATCACAGATTGCAGGATTTCACTTTCCCACTCCCCACATGTTTCTGATTTAGTAGGTCTCAAGTGGGGCCCGAGATTTTACATTTCTAGCAAGTTTCTGGGTGATGCTGATGTTACTGGACTTGGAACCACATTTGAGAACCACTGCTTTAGGGAAATTAAAACCCTTCTGTATATACTTGGAAGCAGGAGCTTTTTCTTATGATCATTCCTCATGCCAAGCCACTGCACTCTGTTCTAAAGCCCTGGAGAAGCAGAACACCCTGACCGATTTGTAGTCTTGATGACCCGACCCTTTTGGAATCTTGATTTTGGCTACCAACAAATTAGCAAAGATCCTCTATTCCTGGTCACTGCAATCTTTCTGCCAAAAATCCTGAGACAGGTGTGTGTTTTATTCATTGGTACATATGAGGAAACAGATCAAATCTGTACTAATCTCTCTAATTTTCTTTTTTGGCAATGGTAACAATTGTGGTTCTTCCCAGGTCCTTTAGACAACCTCCTTCCCCACAGAAAAGCAGTCCCCCTTGGTGTCCCATGTTTTGAATAAGCATTTCCTCTGCCTGCTTTTATAATACCAAGGGATTTACATATAATTCAAGCACAATTTTAAATCAGCATCTCAGATTAAACAGAGCACACAAAGCAAGGTTCTTTCTAAGCCTCTCTTCTTTTTACAACTCAAGGAGTGACACCCCTGGGGGCCGGCCCGGTGGCGCACTGGATAAGTGCGCTGCTTGGGAAGCGCGGCGGCGCTCCCTCCCGAGGGTTCGGATCCCACATACAGACCGGTTCCCGCTGGCTGAGCGAGGTGCGGGAGCAACAACCGAGGGTTGCAATCCCGTTGCCGGTCCCCGGTCCGGTACGGGGGCAACACTGAGGGTTGCGATCCGTTGCCAGACACGGAAAAAAAAAAAAAAAAAAAAAAAAAAAAAAAAAAAAAAAGGAGTGACACCCCTAGTTTAGTACCAAATGGGGCCACTCTTCTGATTACAGGTTAGGTAAACTAAAATTTGCTGGGAAAATGTCTAACTCACCAGCATGTTGGCTCAGAGGCTGGAAAGCTGCTTTAGGGATTAAACAATTCCCGTGTAAGAAGTACACTGACTGAAACCAAATTTTATCTGCATTTCAGCATCAGCTGTGGCTGCCATGCTCTGGAAAAGGATTTTTATGGAAATAGGCAACTATCCCCAAGGAAAGTATAATGGTCCCAGATCTACGTGTGGAGGAACAACTGGAGCAATTTAAATCACTGTGTTCTTAAGAAAGGAGTTTAAAGTTCTATTAATAAAAGGCAGTCACTCAAAGATGAAAGTTTAGTATAACTCAAATAAAAGTGAGTTATATGGCCATTTCCCAATACTTACTCCCCATCTGAGATTTGGAAGATCATTACGATTCCTCATGGGTGTGTGTGTGCTGGTTGTCAGGATTACCTGATTCATCGACTCTCATCTTTTTAGTAGGGCTGTCACAGGTCTCATCATCAGACATTTCCATTTCTTCTTCGCGGCGGATACCCATGAGCTGCTCACTTTGAGCATTCCGGAGCTCCTGAAAGCAGAGGGTACACGAACGTCAGAGTAACAGACACACAGCGATATGCCTTTTCCCACTGGTCCTTAGGTGCATGATATCTGACATAGCAATGTTTCAAATCTGAAGCTTTGACCTCCCAGACATTGCCCTTCCTAGTACAGAATGAAGTTCTGAGGTGTGTGACAGAATGGCCAAGGGCTTGGGGTCACACTTAGAATAAATCCCTGCTGCCAATGACTAGTTAAGGGCTCTTCAGCAAATAATTTCATCTCTCTAAAGTCTCGATTTCTTCATTTGTAAAAACAAAACAAAACAAAAAAAGGGACAATAACATCTACCCAGCAGTGCTGTTGCAGGGATTACATAGAAATACCTGGTACATGGCTGGCACACAGCAGGGACTCATAGTGAATGGTTAAGAACACAAGCAATGGAATTTTAAAAAGGTCTGGCCTATCACTGACCCACTGTGTAACTTTAGGACCACTACTTCATCTCTCTTGGCCTCAATTTGCTCACTGGAATATTGTGGTAATAAAAGCTTTTGAGCTAAAATGAGTTAATGCATGTAAAGTACTTAGCATTACACCAGACACTTAGTTTGCTAAGTTGTTAATGGTGACCACTGTTATTTTTCCTGCAAGCACAGTGCCCCTGCATGTATGTATGTGCCTGTGTATGATCACACACACACACACGCACACGCATTTACCATTGCTTTCCAAAATTTAAAATTAAAAAAAGTTGGGGAACAAAGTAAAAACAGAGGCTGTTTTTTGTGTTTCACATGATTGTGAAGGGGCTGCTGTTTCTGTTCTAATGGTTGCTTTAACATCGCTTTTACAGACACAGATCTCAGGATCATATCTCATTTTCTCCATTTACTAGGGGAGTGACTGCAGTGAAGTAACTTAATTCTCAGAGCGTTTGTCTATTCACCCATAAATGGGCAATAATAATAATACAAGGCTGTTGAATGCAATAGCATATGTAAAAATTCATTGTAAAAAGTAAGGAATTACACAATAAATTTTTTACTACTATGCCTAAAATTGAGACATTGTAACCATTTATGTTAAATAATTATGTTATTATTTTGTATCAAGCTGTATATTATATATTTGTGAATCCTTACTCATTCTGTCCTCTCACATGTCCTATCCTCAAAAAGACTTAAAATGGTGGAAAGGCTCCATTATTCTTTCTTTCCCCCTTTAAAATGAAGTCTCTAAATAAAAGTCATAGTTAAAATAATTTCATTTTATAATAAATCTATGAGTAACAATAAAACTACATCACTACACCTAATTTATCAGTGGCATGACTTTAAACGTAATCTGGTGCCCATTTGACAGAGGTGCATTTGTATTACAGGTTCTCTCAATCCTCTTCTCTCCTTAGCTCACAGGTTTTAGCTGCAGCGTGCTGGGAAGGAAATCATTTATTGCTAACAGCATCTGAATGGTCAACTCCGCACCCTGGAATCCATTGCAGAGGACAGGGAAGAGGGGAGGCAGAGAAAAAGTGGGGGCCTGGGGCACCCATCACAGGGCAGCCCTGAGAGGCCACTGGAATGACAGACAATGCTTCCTTATTTGACCATGCCACCAGAAGAAAGAGATGCCAATTCCACCTTAAATAATAACATCAGGTCTTAAAGGCGGGTGCCACATGTGATTAGTGGGGAAATTTTCAGGTCGTAGACAGCTAATTTTTCTGCTGACAAAGAGCCCAATTCCCAAAGAGGTGACTTGAAAATACTTGAAACAAGGAAAAGTCAGGTGGAAAGAATAAATGAGGGTGAAGGGGTCTCTTGTTTAGTTCCTACAATTAATGACAAACTGTCATACGGTAGTTGTTCTTGTGGGGAAAGGGTGGCAGAAAGGAAAAAATGTGGGGAAAAAAGCTGAGGGTGTTTCCACAGGGTGCCTCTGGTTCAGCAGTAAATCACTAGTACACTCTAACAAATCTGTAGAGGTGTTGCAGATAATTAACAGATGCTGTACATGGGAATGCAGGAAAAAATCAAGCCAATTATCAACCTTCTACGCAACTGAGAAATCAACCACAATGTTAAATTACCAACCAGTATTTAATCAATTAGGCAACATGTAGGAAAGAAAATCAAAGATAATTTAGAATTCTATTTCCTAATGTATATCCAAAGAGATGGAGGAAGTGGCAGGAAGGCACGAAGGCCCTTTAAAGACAGGAGCACCTTTGAGAACTGTACTCCATCTATCTGTCTGGAGCGTCCATTTCTACCTCCTGGTACAAAGCAGAGCAAGCAGGCTTCCTTAGACTAATGCTGGAAGCCTTCCTCTGCTCTGCTGTAGACAGCACCGGGGGTGGGACTGGCAGGGTTAAGGGAAGGTGGGAAGTGGAGTCAGACATGGCAGGAAGCGTGACTTAGACCAATATCTAATTGGTGACACTCATGTACTGATAATAGCCTTTTGATGCCTAAGTTTATTCAGCATGATGCCACCTGCCTTTCTCTTAACATTTCTTTTAATCATGTTTAGTTTTTATGTGAAGGAAAACAATTCATAGACTGATCATTTCCAAATCCAAATCATAGTTTATGGATTCCAGTTTGTGTCTTCACAACCCTCAATTTGTATACAGCATCATAAATGGAGGACTCTTTTTCCTTCTTAAAATCAACCTTGACTTCAGTCTCAGTTCAGTGTCAGGGAGAACATCAGGTAATTACCCTTCATTTTTCTGGCCCCTGAAAAATTAAATAAAGGTCCCACCTCCTCCTTCCTCATAATCTCGACGAGGAACAGAACTGTATGAGTCACCAACCACCTTCTTAGGCATTAGTGAACAAAATAAAAAATACCCCTCTTACCAATAAATTGCACTAGCATTTTAAGTGTCCCATTATTGTGAAGTCATTCAGTATTCACCATAATAACAGTGATAATAAAGAATTCATTTGGTATTCATGTGGATGTTACATCTAATGCCATTGGTATTCAACTGTAATTTAGCATTAGTCAATGGGCACTTAAAATGCTACCTGAATGATTGATATCACAGTACTCTGTGGTTCCTCAAACTCTACATAAAACACTTATTTTACAAGTGTGAGCCAAAATCATTAAATAAACAAACCTTACCTTCTATAAGCTTGGGATTTTGAAAGAGGGGAGTAACATTTAGAGAACTTTAATATTAACATGCTAGAGATGGAGAGGCATCCAGATGAAAATCATTCTCTCATTGAAAAAAAAAAAGAAGTAAACAAAGACAGTATACTTACTTTTAAATTACAGGTTCAAAGCGTACACTACACAGAGGAATTTAAAATAACAGCTGGATGACCAGTGACTAATGACACATTTTGGTCTCTCTAGGTGGCAGGAAAGTCAAGTTCTGGACTCTTTGCTTGGGGGTGGATACTCACACTTCACACATCCATTGATGCTGAAGGGTGGACTCATCTAGCCTGGACATTCACTCCCCTTACAGAATTTGCTCTGAAGAGAGTTGCGATAGACCCCATGGCTAGCACAGGGGGCTAAGACATTGCTTATTATGAGAAGACACGGATGGAAAGGCATACTTGCCATCTGTAGCCCAAAGAGCAAACCATCATCATCACATAGAACACTGAAAAAAAAATTGATATTTAAAAGCTAGTTTTCTAATTTAAGTTACACTTTTCTTTGAAATAATTTATTAAGCAACATGTCTTGGCTTATTTCTGAGCTCTTTACTAGGAATGAAAAAGAGTCTTTTCTCCCTTTGCAGGGGAGAAAAACACTCCGTCGTCCTCTGAGTGTTAAGTCAGCTGCTTTTCTGGACAAAGAACAAATCTGAGCTGGATTTGGAGCTGACAATGAGACAGGACAGTGGCAGGAGGACTGCCCACTGCAACAAAAACCATAATTGCGGGCGCCACACTATCCAGCTGTGTGATGGTGGTTAAAAAGTAATAATAAAATCACCAACCTCAGAATGCTTTCGCCAAATGTCTATGTTCTTGCGCTGAGCTTTCGAGAAATGGTCCCAAGCTTTTTGTCTGGTAGAAGCGTTGAAAACGGCCACAATCTGCTCAACTTTGGTGAACAAGGAAGTCAAACAAGACAAGTAATTTATGTTGTGATCACTATAGGGAAGCAAAGCAAAGACACTAGGAGTCTATGGATGATGTTACAATAGAAACAACATCATCAATATCCATCCAATTTGTGTCTTTTTGTACTTACATTTTAGCAAGGTTGGGGATGTCTCCCTTCAAGTCTGTCTCCATAACTTTAGGTTAAAACAAATTCTAAATATGACTGGGAAAAAGGTCATGGGTAGCTACTTTTAAGCATTCTTTAACTCTTGTTTAAAATGTGATTTGGTATATCTATATACCTAGATCTATAGATATATAGACACTGGTTTTGGCATACAGTACAGAGATGTAGATAAAGTAATGCCTGGCCTGGGGGCTTAGAAGTAAAGCTGGGGTAGAGTGGCTGAATGAGGAAGAGCCAAACATACACGTTTTTCTCTTTTGGTTTCCATCTTGAGGACTCGACTGTAGCCCTCTGAAGACATTACCGTGTCCGAGTTCCAAGCTGGGGCAACAAGTAGTTGTGTCATATCTTCCCTCAGTCTCAGGGGCCACCTTTCCTCCTAGGCTCCTCTTTCTCCCCCCATTGCACTGACTGATTCCAGCCCTCCAGCCCTCTGGCAGGGAACAGGAGACATTGCCTCCACTTCAAGAAAGACCAATGCTCACCCAGCCAGCAGCACGGACATGCAGGTCTTACATCACCTCCATAGGGCACCCTCCACAGTTCATGACAATCACATACTATTCTCTGTTATCCCATTATCACTTTCATAAGGCTCCCCTCTCTCTGGCTTCCAAACCATTAGAGGCTCTAACTCTACCACCTTGACTTCACTGAGCACTTCTGTTGCTTTCAGGCACTGTGCTACGGGAACGATAAATGCTGAGGGGTTGTGAACAAAACTGTATAGAGAAAGGGACGGGCTCTTGATAGTGGGTGTTAGGGGTGGGACCAACAACTGTAGACTCAGTCTTGCTTAAACAGTTACTGACCTAGTAAGCATGGGATTAAGGAGATCAGAGCACTGAATTAATTATATGATTAAACCTGAACTTGTACATATTTAGTTAGGAAGGCACAGTTAAAATTAGGTTCTCATGGATCTGGGCTGTTTCCAGTTTTGGCTATTATGAATAAAACTGTTATTGACAATCAAAAAAAAAATTAGGTTCTCATGGATGTTAACACACTATCAACATAAATCTTTCAAAAGTAATTCCCAAGGCTCTATTAAAAAAAGGACACAAAAGTTCTTACAAATCTTCTGGTATCCAAAGAATGTCAAACTGTAATAGGATAATCCCTGCAGAAGAACAACACTTAGTGCCATAATTTTAAAAATTAGCACACAAATGAGTGTATGAGGGAGCAGAAGAAAAAAAGACTTCATTTACTTACATTGTGAATGTCTTACAATGCTAATAAGCAACTATTTCTCAACCTATGGGTAATTTTCATAGAGTGCTTTTATGTTGACTATTTTGCACCTCAGGAGAACCCTGACTCCTAATCTCCTTGTTTAGCAAATCTTGTCATCATGTCACATGATGAATTTCTTTCACTCAATTTTAACAGAGGATTTGCCATCAGCTTAGCTCTCATTCTTCTTGAGTGCATGTAGCTTCCTTCCCTCCCTGACCTCACCTGGTGGGAGTAGCACTGCCAGATTGGTCACCTTGATCTGCTCTAAGTGCTGACCCTCACCCTCTCTCCTTCCCCAGCAGTGCTCTGTCTGGCTGCACTGCAGCATGGCTGGCAGAGAAGAGGTCCTGTTTAGCTCCACCACTGGGGCTTTCTGTTTGTTTTGTTTGCATGCAGGCTGGGATCATGGGGGATTTCAGTTGCCTTCTGCAGGGGCAACACAGAGCAGTCAGACCCAAATCCACTGTCAGCTTAAAATATCTGGCAGGGGTAGTGATCATGAAATTATTACAGACTGCTTTTAACAGCAGAGCTCTTTGACTGGCATCATTGAGAGGAAGAACTATGGTGTCTTGAAACCAAGGCTCAGGGGAAGGGACAATATGGATAGAGACTGAGTATTTGGAAGGTAATAGTCAAAATTCTGCCATCAATCAGGGAAGGCTGTCAACAAAAAAAGATACACTAAAGTGAAAATTATGTATGTTCATGAATGTGTGTGGCAGGGAGGTAAGAAAGACCAGCAATGCACATGGAGCAGTACAGAAGAAGGGAAAGCACTTAAAAGAAAGACCCAATAGCCTAATACTGTACAGGTTTAAGGGTAGCAATAGATCTCCTAGTATCTACTCAAGCAATGTTCTATTGCAGAAATTCCCTGTTTGAGGCTGAGTGCCTCAGTTATTTAAAACATGTGATTACCATTTCCCAGGGCAGAAGTTCCATTCATTCATTCATTCAATAAACATCTGGGATCCTACTAAGTACCAGGCAATTGACTGATTACTAGAAATGGATAGTTAAGACATAGTCCTTGCCCTTAACAAAATCACAGTCTCTGGGAGAAAGAAAGGTAAGAAGATAATTATCCTGTGCAAGATGACAACTCTGGGGACACAGAGTAAGTGAGTGGAATCAGAGAACACCTGACAGAGAAGGCAACATTTGCTCAAGAGAGAAGGCAGGGGCAGACCATTCAAATGCTGCATGGAATCAGAAAAGGGCTTTGTATGAAAATAGCTGGTGGGGATGGGGCTAATGCTGGGTGAGAGCAAATCAGGAAGGACTGCGTGCACTAATGCAGACTGTGGACTTTATACTGTAGGTCTGGGAGGCATATCGAAGTAGGATTTGCTTGGGAGAAATGACAAAGGCTTGAATTAAAGCAGAGGCTATGGAATGGAGGGTGGAGCACACAGTCACTGGGCAGGGAGAGGTACCAGGACTTGGTGACTGCTTTGCCACGTGGGAGGAGGGGGGGAGGAGGCCAAGATGACACGAGCTTGGGAATTATATCAGAGGTCTGAGAAAGAAGACAAGGAATTTGCTTTTTGACAAGCTGAGTTTGAGAATGCCTGAAAGCCACCAATATGAAGGTGAAATACGGATTGTGGGTTCAGAAAGAAGTCAGAATTACAAGAGATAATGTCTGAAATTTTCTGGACCATGCTCAATTTCTTGTAACTGTATTCTTTTCACAAGGGTAACTAATTAAAAGCAAGACTAAATGTGATTTAATTTTATACTTTGTGAAGTTTTACACTTTTTCCCCCTGCATATTCACAAATCAAATGATGACAACAAAAAATGCATAACTTGGCTTAGGTTTGAAAAACACTCTTACGGCATTTATATGGCCCCGTTTACTGCTCTCATTTCTGCAGACTGCCCCTGAACCAACCATTTCTCTTGCAAATGAAAGTTCTTGGGCACAAAAAAGGATTCTGAAAGAGTGCTTGGATCAGCATGAATTCATCATCATTAGGGAAAAAGCACCTCAAAGAGTAAGCCCTAATGATTGTGATTCAAAGACAGCATATTTTTAAAATCATAAATCAGGATGACCACTAGTATTGATGTCACAGGTAAAGACCATATGCTATTTCATTGTCTATAGCAGGGACAGCCAAAGAGGAGGCCTTTGAATTAGACTACCACTTACTTCTCTACTGTAATTCATACTGCTTGTTCTATTCACAATAAAGCCACAAGTAGTGACTAACTAAATAGGATCTTTAAAACTCTATTCAGAGAAAGAAATAAATTCCAGACAAGATGGCATTGGCATTTGTTTGAAAAAGCAGCTTACAGAAGTTGTGCTCCAGGAGGAACAAATTCAGATCAACGCCTCCCCCTGTGCCTTCACCATGCTGGAATTCTACAGACTCATGGTTGGAAGGCACCACATGATCCTTTATCAGATAAAAAAAACATGCATTCTATTCTATAATTGTTACTTGGTTACTCAAGAAAGTATACCCAAAAAGTTTTGGAAGTACTATCAACAGAAGGATCTCTCAGTCAGAATATTTAAATTTACCCTTCATACCTTGCAAATAATACCCTCAAAATTGTATGTTTTAAGTGTTTTGCCTACATTGGGTTATTTGAGGATCATGAGAAAATCAAAAGAAATCGATTCTTCAAAAGTATGCTTGAATGTCAGTCTTAGATGTCATAATAGAGTCCCTAAAGTCCCTAGAGACCTAAAAAGAAACTGAGGCTAAGTACATACAGTAAGGACTTACTGAGCCAATATGACAATTGCAACCAGGGAGATGGCTGGTTCAGCTCACCCTGAGAAATGCACTCTGAAGAGGAGCCGGCAGAGCTTAGCATTTTATAAGCACAAGAAGGGGGAAGAGTCAGAGAGAGGATTACTTTATTAGGTTTTCTACTGGTTGACGTGACGTATAGATTTGGGATTGTTACTAGGTGACATAAGGGTTATAAGAAGCATTCTAGATTATTTTATGGCTTTCTGGTGCCATTAAGTCTGCTTCTAAATAAAAATGGCCTTATGATTATGTTTTCCAGGACAGGTGGACGTGACTTCTCACTTATCCCAGATCTCCCGAGGCACTATAATTTAGCTGACCTGATCAGAGCAGTTTTTTGGGTTATCACTAGTATACCTAGAAGCGACAGTAAACATAAGGGAAGGATAAACAGAGCTCTGATGAAATTGCTAATCACTCTGTATAGCTGCAAACCCCTCCTAGCGATTATTCATTAGCTTATATGTGTGTATGTATGGAGATACACACTCCCACATAACACACATACACACACCTATGTATATATTCTTCAAAATTTTTTTAAAAACTGTAAGACTAAGTAATTTAATGATTTTTTTTGCATTTTGCCCCACCCTAAAATGTATGGACGCACCTGCTGAGTTTAGAACACACTTCTTACTTGATAGAGAACTTTATAAACTATCTGGAGAAGCACTTGTCTTTGGTCTTCTCAGGGAAGGAAAGCTCAGAACAGAACACCCATTCATCCAGAAACAGACCACATTTAAACAAGTTCCCTAGGAAAGATCAAGGCACCAAGTGCAAAATCTC